TTTTTACTGAAATGTGTTTCCTGTTTGCCAAACAAATATTTATTTGATAAAGTTTAGGGATTTATCTGCTATGAGATAAATAATTATTCTATTTTAATCAGCTACTAGCCAAAATCGAACAAAACATATTTGTCTCTATTATTACCTACAAGAAAAATGAAACAAGTGGTTATTTACTTTAAATAACATCTAATTAAATATTATACTCATGTACAAAATTTTATACGTGTTTAAATGAGAAAAATATTTGTTCTGTTCAAGATTATATTATTCTATTAATTTGTAAAATTCCAAAACATTTATTTGCTTCAAATGACAAATAAAAAAAATATTACTACTATTACTCCCTCAGTGCAAAACTCACAATAGTATGTTTTCAATTTATTTTTCAGCTGCATCTTACATTCGGTAATTAATTTCTATGTATATTTTTTATATAATATTGCCAATAATTAAAACATATTTGTTGTTCGGATGAAGGATGATTAAACTAACGATACTACCGGTTCTTATCATTATATCATTATTTTATTATCTTCAAATACCACAAATTGACCATACCACAAATTCTTCAAATATGTTGTTATTATTTCCATCTTTATCCCAAATCAGAAACCTAAAACCAACCGGAACTATCACTATTTTACTATTATTAAATCACAATACCTTTTATTATAACTAATAAATTTACCGCAAACACATGCAACATCAGATTCACAAGAATAAATAACATGTCCGGATTTCGGCTTCAGTATCATCAAATATTTTTATGATGTGTAGGTAGGTATAACACATTACTGGTATTGTAAAAATTATTTGGTAAACTATTTTAGTGTTTAGAATTATATACAGGGTGTATCTAAATTTATGCGACAAAATTCAGGAGGTGATTGCTCGTATGAAATGAAGATGGCTCTTTCCTAAAACAAAATTTCCTTAGCCCACCCCTTTTCGAGATATCACCCTTAAAAGGTAAAATTGAGTTTTTATTTTTTTCTAAAATTTCAGTAAAGCTAGAAACTTGATATTCTGTAATTTTCGTGCACATGCAAAGGACTAACTACGGGTATTTTTTCAATATTCCTGTTAAATTTTTTTTTTTTTATTTGAAGAAAAGTCGCATCAACCACAAAGGTTATTAGCGAATTGTAAGATTACAAATTGGTGTAGTACATACAAAAGAAAGATGACAATATATAAGAATAACTAAATAGAATTTAGTATGTTGATGGATTTCAAAAATCTTTTTAAACTGTTTATATCGCACGCAGAACCTAGAATGTTAGATATTGGACCAGCTGGGAGGTTTGATTCAATACGTTGAGGTGCAAGAAAAGGACAGTCTACGAGTATATGTTTTACCGTCAACTTGATGTCGCAGTGGCTACATTTAGGTTCTATTTTTGAGCTAAATAAATAACTGTGTGTTAGTCGTGTATGACCCAAACGTAGCCTGGTTAGTAAAATTTGATCACTACGGTTTCGCGGGAGTGATGACCATGGTTTCACATTATTTTTAATTTCACTGAGTTTAGAAGAACAAGACGACCACTTAGATTCCCACGCACTGAACACTTTTGCTTTAATGAACGATTTTACGTCACTACTCAATAATAATTGAACCGGTATGGCACTTTCACTATTCACAGCTTCTTTGGCCAGTTTGTCTGCTTGCTCGTTCCCGCTTATTCCTATGTGAGATGGTATCCAGATAAATACGATGTCTTTTCCCCTTAGCTGAGCAGAGTAGAGTTCTTCTTTTATTTTGCTGATCAAGGGGTTGTTGGAAAAGATGCGTTGTAAGGCGAATATAGAGCTAAGAGAGTCTGAGAGAACCACAAAGTTTTGAGAAGTTGAGAAATTAGCAAATATTAATGCTTGGTACAGAGCTAACAGCTCTGCTGAAAAAATAGAAGATTCTGAAGGAAGCTTGTACATACTACTAGATGTGGGTGTACTGACAGCAGCTCCTGTTCTTCCATCTAGCTTTGAGGCGTCAGTAAAAATTTGTAAGTACCCATCGAATTTGCAGAGGATATTGCTAAGACTTGTTTTGATAAGGTGAGTATTCGTTGAGTGTTTGTCAAATGCGGTAAGCGAGGTAAGACATCTGGGATTTTTTATTTGCCAAGGAGGTGTAAACTGAGGGTGATTTGGTAGGCATTCAGGAATAGTGTAGTTGATTTTTTCTTGGTAGCTTCTTATTCTGGCATAGAAAGGTTTGGTGGTTCTAGGATGTTCCGAGAATAGAGTGTGAAATCTCTGGGAAAAACAGTTACCGACTGTGGGATTTGTAGGAGAGGACCTAATCTTCGTTGCATAGGCCAGGCTTAAATTTAGTCTTCTGTTCTCCAAGGAAGGTTCACCGACATCGCAGTATATACTGTCAACTGGGGTTGTACGGAATGCTCCTGTGATTATTCGAAGTGCTGTGTTGTGGATAGTGTTCAGAGGTGCAGTTAAAGTTTTAGACGCAGATGTATAGATGATCGAACCGTAGTCCAATCTTGAGCGTATTAATGTTCGGTATAAAGTAAGTAGAGTCTGACGATCGGCACCCCAGGTTCGATTTGAAAGCATTTTTAGAAGATTGAGTCTTTTGTGGCAGGATAAGATTAGATTTTTAATGTGAAGATTCCATGTTAAAGATGAGTCAAAGGTCATTCCCAGAAACTTTATGGATGGTTCGGATTTTAGATTTTTATTGTGAAGTGTTAATTCAGGTGTGACAGCAACTTCTCTTTTAGAAAATAGGATGTAACGGGTTTTAGCGGTAGAAAAGGTAAAGCCAGTTTGCTGTGACCAAATCTCCAGTTGTTCAATAAATTGTTGGGTATTTGAAAAAATGTTGTTTATATTCTTGCCCTTGCAAAATACGACTAAGTCATCTTCATATAAACGTGCTTTGAGTGGTGGTTTAAGGCCTTTTAGTATATCATTAATAGCTATTATGAAGAGAGTCGGGCTTAATGTGGAACCTTGAGGAAGACCGCTTTCCAGTATCATTTCATTGGAAAAAGTGGCGTTGGTTTTCACTTTAAAAGATCTATTTGTCAAAAAGTTTTTAACGAAGATGAGACAGTTGCCTTGTATATTCCAGCTGTGTAGTTTCTTAATTATGTAGTCGTGCCACGCAGTGTCAAAAGCTCGGTTAATGTCAATAAAGAGAGCTAAACATTTACCCTTTAGTGCAAATGATTCATGGATTTCGCTTTCTAAATCTATGATGTTATCTAGTGTGCTGCGTTGTTGTCTAAATCCACTTTGTTCTGGTATAATCAGGTTGCGTTTCTCTAATGTCCATAGCAACCTTTTATTAATAATTTTTTCCATAAATTTGGACATTGCGGATGTTAGCGAAATTGGCCGATATGATTCTGGATTGGTTTTTGGACATTGGGTTTTTAGTATAGGGATTACTGTAGATTCTTGCCACTTTTTGGGAAAAACATGTTGGCACCAGATAATGTTAAATAATCGAAGAAGGTATTCATGGGCTCTGGAGGGTAAGTGTTGGAGGAAACTAGCTGGTATATCGTCTGGTCCAGGGGAAGTATCACGTAAACTAAATAGTACTTCTTCATATTCTGCTGATGAAAGAGGTAGATTTAATGGGTTGTCATCGATAGAAGTAATTGGAATAATCTTATTCTCTTCCAATTGTTTATACTGCATAAAAGATTCATTAGAACTATTGATGCTGGAACGTATTTGATAAGTTTGCGCTAATGTCGAGACTATTTCCGCATTGGTAGTGAAAGTATTTCCATCTACTACAAGTCTTTTTATATTGATGTTGGTATTCACACCAGATATTCGTCGAACCTTCTGCCACACTTCTGTCATAGGGGTATCGGAGTTTAAAGTTGATACATACTCAATCCACGAACTTCGTTTGGCGCATTTTGTGGTGTATCGAGCTTTTGCACGTAGTCTTGAGAATTCTATTTTATTTTCCACAGTTTTATGGCGTTTATATCTGTTAAAGGCTTTTTTACTAGCTTCTGTAGCTGATTTGCATTCATGTGTCCACCATGGAACAGGGTTATGTTTCTTGGGATATGAAGTTTTCCCAATTGATATTTCGGCAGCTTGTTTAATGACATTTTCAAAAATCTCAAGTGAGACATCTATATCGGCTGATAGTTTGCAGTAGATCATCTTATCTTCAACTATTTTGTGAAATAGGTTTCAGTCGGCCTTTTTTATGTTCCACTTTGGGCAGAAAAAAATGTTGTTTTGGTTCCTTCTGTTATTGGTTAGGATAATAGGGTGATGGTCACTGTTATAATTATAATCTAACACATCCCAGGTAAATGATGGAATCAGCGAAGGATCACAGATTGTAAGGTCAATACAAGATGATTCACCAGTCTGTATATTAAATCTAGTAGGTCTACCATCGTTTAGAATGGAAAGGTTGAAATCGTTTGTTACTTCTTCTAGAATTCGACCTTTGCGATTTACACTAGTGGAACCCCACAAAAAATTGTGTCCATTAAAGTCTCCAAGGATAACTCTAGGCTGAGGTAATTGCTCTAGTAGATCGACTAGCTCTTGTTTTTCAAGATCCATTCCTGGTGAAAGGTATATATTGCAAATATAAAGGTTTGATTGATTGTCCGATCCGGTAGTTTTAATCGCAATAGCTTCGAGGTTAGTTTGTAGCGGAAATTCTTCAGCGTCAAGGGTATTTTTGACGAAAATAGCTACACCACCACTAGCTTTAATAAGATTGTTACGATTTTTGCAGAAACTATAATACTGTTTTAAGGCTTGAATATTATTGATTTTAAAATTGGTTTCCTGGAGACATATAATGTCTGATTGATAATTGGACAGAATAGATTGGAGCATTGGAAGGTTGTTGAAGAAACCGTTAATGTTCCATTGTAATATGGACGAAGATGTCATTGTTTGTGAGAGTAGATGTGAGTTGAAACTTTGACTAAAATAGACTTCTACTATAAAAAGAAAGAGAAAAGAAAAAAAGAAAAGAGTTAGTAGGAGGATTCTTGAGAACAGTCGCTCTCTGCTTCGGAGCTTTCCAGGTCAGGCATAGTCGTCTGAAGGTGCTTGAGTATTTTCTTTCTCAGGTTTGTGCATCTAGTTTTAATACTTCTGTGTTTGAAGTAAGGATGGATTTTTGTTAACATGTCTACTAGAGCAACAAGATCTTTGGTGTAGTTCAGTGTTATGCTGACAGGTTCTGTTGATCCGTAGGTGTTCTCAAAAAGGTCGGATATTTGTTCAAAGTCAAGTACAAATGGAGGACTCTGTTCTGAAATCACAGTTCTGAGTGGTTCCATAAGAACCACGGTTGGTGTGTCTTGTTTATTCTTTGGTTTCTTGGATGGTACGGTTTGAAGGGGTTTAATAAAAGGATCCACTAATGTGCCTGCTGTATTATCTGATATGTCGGGAGGAGGGGTAGCTATTTCCTCGAATGTACGTTTGCCTGAATTATCTTGTTTTTGTTTCTGTTGTATATTAGCGGTTTCCATTATGGCTTGCTGTTGCAAGATTAGAGTTGCTTGATCTGAGTTTGGAGCTGTTAATACATTTTGGGAGGGCGGAGAGGAAATGGTTTGATTGTTGGATATTTCGGTTGGGTTAGAATTGCCAAGTGACTGCGATGTTGTTTGCTCTGAATATATTTCTGTTGATGTGTTTTGTGCTGGTGAGTGGCATGCGGTAATGGATTGCGAGGAAGAGGTCTGTTTGTTGGATAAATGGTTTCGGTCAGGGTTACCAAGTGATTGTGATTGCGGTGAAGTTTTGCAGTTAGCCGCCGCTGTATGACCCTCTTGTTTGCATGAGTAGCAGACTAGTGAATCTTGGGATAAGAATATACGGTAGGTGGTGTTCTCGTAATCAACCACAAATGACTCTGGGATTGAACCTTCTGGGGGATTTATAAAAATTTGGCGTCTAAAACTAAAAATGTGGCTAAATTCAGGCAGAGATGCGCCAATTCGTAAAAATGTCATTGGGGAATGCAATTTTAGACCCATTTTTTCTAACTGTTCGGTCAATACTGTGTGAGGGATAGTTGGGCATACGTTAGATAAAACGAGGCGTGTTGATGGTGTTATTAATTTGCGAGCTTGAATTGTCTCGTTATTTATTATAATAACGCCCCGATGATCATTGATAAATTTTTCGACAATATCTTTGCTTGCTAGGTACATACATACTCTATTATTAGATAGTCGTGAGGAGAATAGGATGTTTTTAGGTTCAATAATAGCTCCAAGTGGAACTAAATATTCTTGAATTTTTGTATTATCGATAGCTGGAAATATGATTGCCTGTTCTTTGGTTGGATAATGATGTTGAGTAAGCGCAGAAGAGTAAGACTTAATAGTGTTTTCGTTCAGGGATCTCCTGTAGTCAGAAGACCCAGATGGAGTGCTTAACATAGTTTTAATATTCGGAACACTGACTTAAACCTAGGTACGGACCTGCACTCAAATCGGCAATGACCATATCGCAGATAGACTTTGCGATTAATTTGATAAGCAGAGTAATTTGCCCGTTTTTTTCCCTTCGATTCCGATACCATGCAGGTTAACAATAATTGCTGTAGAAAGTCGCTGCTTGATAATTAAGTTATACTTACAGTATATGATGTAGTATACTATAAAGGTTTGATGTATAGGTAAACACAATTATTAACTAACTATTTACCACACACAAAATGAAATTTATCAGGAGCTGAATTTAATTCACTATTTCACGAATTATTCAGGACCGGACCCTCCTGTTAAATTATAGAGGGGTCAAATTAATTTTATTTCATAAAACTTCATATCGACAAAAGTTTTGATATGAAATAAAGTAAGGGTTGCTAATTTCACCCCCCTATAATGTAACAGCAATATTGAAAAAATACCCGTGGTTAGCCCTTTGCGAGAGCCCGAAAATTACAAAATTTCAAGTTTCCAGCTTTACTGAAATTTCAGAAAAAAAATAAAAACTCAATTTTAGTCACCACCTTTTAAGGGTGATATCTCGAAAAGGGTGGGCTGAGAAAATTTTGTTACAGGAAAGACCCATCTTAATTTCATACGAGCAATCACCTCCTAAATTTTGTCTAGTATTTTAGTATTAGTATACAGGGTGGCTCACGCTCAACGGGACGGAGCTTTATGGGAAAACGACCAAAGATATAAAAAATTTGTTTGGGAGGAATACGTAGGTTACAGACAGCTACAATTTAAAATTTGTTAGATGTATACAGGATGTCCCACATAAGAAAAAAAAATTAGTTCATTAAAAATTATTCAAACAAGAGTAAACAATTAATTTCTGGAAGACTTTTTTTCCTTAAAAATTCAAATAAATCGAAAACTAATAATAATAGTAATAGGGAATCTTTAGTTAACTGACGTTATTTTTGATGTAGTTTTTAATTCTAAAATAAAAAACAGGGTGTTCCATTAAAAATAATATAACTTTGTATATTTTCTCTTATGTAGGACATTCTGTATCTTTGGTCGGTTTCCTATACAGCTCCGTCCCGTTGAGCGTGAGCCACCCTGTATATCTAGTAATAGACCAGGGCTGAAGCCTTTGCAAATGGTAAACAGTGAAAACAAAAATAATAGTAGAATAAAACACATTGGAAAAGGAAGAGAATATAACAAAAATGTAAGGAAAAATAATTTACGGGCGATCTGAGGTCGGTAAGTGGAAGGGGGTGTGTTTTTAAGGGTAAAAAACGGTTTATTTCAATTTCCGGCAAAACTACAAGAGATTTGCCAATAAGAAAGATGATTTAAGTTTTGCCAATTGATATTTTTGAAATCTTAAATGATTCAGTGTTATATTATCATTTTTACATTTATAAATAGATTTGATTAATTGTAATTTGTAATCCATTTTTTTCGATATCTTCTTTGTTTGCATCTTTTCTATAAAAAATATTGGCAAATTTTAACAAATTTTTATCATTTAATAATGAATTTACGATACTTTTCTTTCTTTTTCTGGAAAATCTAGATGTTGTATCGCAACCAGAAAAACAATGCAGACATGTAACGATATTCTTGAAGGATTCATATTTGAAACTATTAGACGTGAAAAATTTATCTTTTACATTTCCAGAACCTAGCTTGAGAAAATAAATGTCATGATTGTTTGAATTTAATTGATTTAAAAGGGCAAGATGATCAATATTATAACAATGACAGTTTTATTAGTATCTCTAGCAATTTCTATCGAGGTCTTAATTATCTCTTCACTTCTCTATGAAATACCTTTTGATGGGCTAAAATTTTCCGTAAGTCACTCAGGTATATAAATCATTTTAAAATAGCAATAAATAGGCATCTACGCATATAATTTAAAGAAGATTCTACAACTTTCTCAAAATACTGTAGATGTCTTATTAAATATTAACTTTATTAACTTATTTGGTTGTTAATTATAGTAGTATATTTTGACTTGCAATTTTTTTGTTTATCAATGTAACATGGAATCTTACGTTTTTCGAGAAAATAAAGTGTAAATTTTAATAAATAGCTCAAAATTGTAGATAATGATTAAAAAAAATTTTTGGATTCGAGTTTTTTTCGTTTCTTTGAATTTTCTGAGAACATTTACCACAGTAATGTATATATTTTTTTACACCATCAAAAAGTATAGATTTCAACGAACAAAAATTTCACCGACTTTAAAAATAAAACAGATATTTTGACAGGAGAATCTTTGATTGAAAATTAGGGTGCTTTTTCGATATTAAGTCAAAATAAGGTGAAAAAATTAATATTTTAAATCAAACAAATTGCAGTATGTTTGTGACATTAAAAGGTAAGTTTTCACCAAATTTCGGGAATTTTTTTTTTATATAAAAAACCAAAAACTTGGTTATTTGAATTTTTCACATAAATTTTGAAGTTATGTAAAAAAAGTGTAAATACAGAAGTTGTAGATCTTTTTATTAACTATAACTTTGCTATTTAACTTTTTTCCCTAGATCTTGTAGTTTTGCCGAAAATCGATATAAACCGTTTTTTACCATTGAAACTTTATCACCTTCCACTTACCGACCTCAGATCGCTCGTAAATTGTTTTTTCTTTCAGTTTTGTTGTATTCTCTTCCTTTTCCAATGGGTTTCATCCTACTATTTTCTCTTGGTTTCAAAAATGATCGACCCTGGTCTATAATAATTATATTATTTTTAATATTAAAACAGCGATCTATTTAACATCACGCTTGATCAATATGTTCTATATATTGTTGCATTCAAATGAATTATCATCATTTGGTATTAATATTTCGATTGATTTCGCTGCTCAGGTATTTATTTTAAAGCCTGTGACATTTAATTCAAATATATTTAAATCCAAATAAATTTGCAAAAAAGCTTTGAGGTATTTCAAACAAATACATGAGTTTCTGTTATTATTCCTATAAATTTTGGACCAATAAAACATATAAAAAAAAAATAGTTTTATCAATGTAACTTTTTACACAAGAGTGTTCAGTTGTGGCACGAACCGATAAGGGAGTGTCGCAAAAAAACACGAATATGTAATGGAGTGGCATAGGTATTACATAACAATTGTGGAAAGATGTACTGCGAATGACAAAAGATTAGCAATCCAAACTGCGAAAAAATAAATTCACTTCTATTTTCGTGTTACACAATATATTTTTAAATTCTTCATAATCTTACTAAAGGTTTTTTTTTTACTTTACAGCATATTCAAACAATAGGCAGAAAATCACCATAACTGTTTCAAAATCTTGAAAATACAGGTAAGAAAATTATTTAGATTAGATTTTGTTTGTATTTAAATTTGTAATATACCATCAAAAACAAATTTGGCCACATGGTATTATTTATTTTTTTTCTACAAGAAATAATAATACTCTCTGCCCAAATTCATATATCGTCCGTGTCCAGGCAAAGTATCGTAAGCGACATTTTTTGCAAAACTGGGATTTTGGTGTTGCGCTATGTCGACTCAAAAAAATATTCTATGCTACAAATTTCTATTTAAAATTTAGCCATCGTATATGCCCACAAATCATAAAATATCGCAAGCTAGACTATGATCAATGCTTTGTTACTTTGTATCCATCATAATCTTCTTAAAATATCCCAAGCTTCCGTTTTATTCTATAGCCAAAAATCTAAAACATAAAGCGGAACAAAACATTTTTTGATCTTCCCGTAAAATTACTTAAATGGCGCATACGATACTATGCCTGGACAGAGACGATGTTTTTCTCAAATTTTCAATAATGATTATTGTCGAATTTCAAACACTGGGCGGACACTAGTTATTATTAATTATATTATTTACAGATGAGAAAAACCCAGAAAAACCTTACCCACCATTATTCTCATCTGTCATCTTCCATCTACTATATGTCATCTGTCACATCATATGTCATATGTCATATTTCATATGTCATATGTCATATGTCATATGTCATATGTCATATGTCATATGTCATATGTCATATGTCATATGTCATATGTCATATGTCATATGTCATATGTCATGTCATATGTCATATGTCATATGTCATATGTCATATGTCATATGTCATATGTCATATGTCATATGTCATATGTCATATGTCATATGTCATATGTCATATGTCATATGTCATATGTCATATGTCATATGTCATATGTCATATGTCATATGTCATATGTCATATGTCATATGTCATATGTCATATGTCATATGTCATATGTCACATGTCATATGTCATATGTCATATGTCATATGTCATATGTCACATGTCATATGTCATATGTCATATGTCATGTGTCATATGTCATATGTCATATGTCATATGTCATATGTCATATGTCATATGTCATATGTCATATGACATATGACATATGTCATATGTCATATGTCATATGTCATATGTCATATATCATATGTCATATGTCATATGTCATATGTCATATATCATATGTCATATGTCATATGTCATATATCATATATCATATGTCATATGTCATATGTCATATGTCATGTCATATGGCATATGTCATATGTCATATGTCATATGTCATATGTCATATGTCATATGTCATATGTCATATGTCATATGTCATATGTCATATGTCATATGTCATATGTCATATGTCATATGTCATATGTCATATGTCATAGTTACAGATACTTGTAAAATGTGTCCCCCCGTTTTAATAATAAATTAATGTGTTTTTTTGTTTTAAAGATATTTTAAAAGTTATTTTGAGTGACTAGTTTTGAAATGAAATCCCTGTATAAGGAACTGTTTATCGTACATATCTAAAATATTCTTGTTAACAAATTGGTCCGCACAAACCAGTTATCTAAATCATTGAAAGATAATAAAGGTATTTTTATTTGCCTAAAAAATACAAAAAACCGTAAAAACGGCAATTTTTATATACTTATCGAAAAACAACTTATTTACACGATGTTTTTAGATTTGATATACAAAACATATTTTTAAATCGATTTAATATTGCGTCCAGGATTTCAATTTAAGTACCTACGTGAGATGATGTTTTGTGGAGCATTTCCATAATTTTAAAATTCTACACGTTCTTCCTCGAAATCAGCCCGCGCCCTCTAGGGTTGAGAACCCGTCGCTTATAGAATATATGTTTGTGGAACAAATGGATTAAAATTTATATTCTGACATGTTAAAGTTAAGGATGAATCCGAGAGACGCTTTTTTTAATTTTGGACGTCAAATAGTTGTCATTAGATAAATATATTTCTCGTCTGATATAATTAATTTTGAGAGTTTCTAGTTTAGTTATCTGTGTTTCTGTTTCGTTAATAGTTAGTTTATACTGTGAGTTTTCAAATTTTTAAATAGTTACTATAGTGCGCTCTATTTAATGGACTCTATTAACGGGGGCTCAGTCCCCCCAGAAAAACCACCTGACTGGGGAAACCCTTCAACTTGGACTAATACCCAATTGGAATCAGTTATGGAGGTAGATGCCATAATGAAAGAATCGCCTAAAGTAAGATTGGATCAAAAAAATGTTAACCAAGATCCGGTAAGTAATGTCAATGTTCCATTTACTACATTACCTTCGAAAGAGTCACCAAATATTGAAAAAATGAGACAGTGTTTCAAATACCAACCAACGTATATAGGCCCGTTTCATGTATACATTGAAAATATAAAGACAAATTTTGAAGGTAAATTAAATCCTATAAAGGTAGGTGAAATAATTTTAAGAGCTCATTCTGAAATTGATAATAAAATAAAACAAATTTATACCAAAATTTTTATTATTTAGATTAGGAGTGGTCAAACAAATAGATGTGGATTTGTCAGAAGAATATTTAAAAAGTAGAATTTCGCCCTATGATTTGCATTGTAAATTCGAAGTAGATTTTGTTAGACGCATTAATCGAAAAATTAAGAAAGATGATGATTCAACTGAACTTAAACCTACAAGAACAATATTGGTCTCATTTAAATCCCAAACATTACCAAAATATATTTTAATTAACTAACAAAGTTTTATATGATGTAGAACTATATCAACAAAAAGTGCTACTTTGCTACAATTGCTATAGATATGGCCATATGGGTCGTCAATGTAGAAACAAGGTTCGATGTATAAAATGCGGAGAAAATCACAACTCAGAATCTTGTCAGAATAATGACAATAAGGTATGTCTAGTATGTCAGGGAAATCACCGTACTACAGATCTGGACTCATGTCCAGAATTTAAGAGACAAAAAAATATTAAAAGTTATATGTCAAATACTAATTGCTCATATAAAGATGCTTCTAAAGAAATTCTTCAACACACGTATGCTTCTATAGTGTCCTCATCTTCCTCAAGTCAACCAAATAAATCATTATCACAGCCTTCCTTTGTTAATGTAAACTCAGTTGCCAGCACAGCTCCTACACCAATCAATATCGTATCCAATCTTATCTCTCATTCAACTTTTCCTCACACTTCTAAATTCAGATCATTCTCACAACCTATAAATTCACCGAAAACTAATAAAAGACCCCGTATTATCAACTCTAACCCTATTTCTTCAGCTCACAAAGAAATTATATCTAATACTAATATTCCAAAAAGTCAAGGAGGAATCCTTTCTTCTCCTAAATATAAATCTACATTAAGTTCATCAAATATAGAGGAAAAATTGACAAGTGATAATATGTTCCAAATTATTTTACAAGTTGTTTTATCTACTATTGAAATTATTAAAAGTACAAATTTCGAAATTCAAGAATCTACTATTTTAAATGTAATTAAACAAAATTTATCAAGTTCTATAGGAAAGACTCTTGAATTCGATGGCTAGTACTGGTAATATTACATTGTGTCAGTGGAATTGTAGATCAGCTGTTTCAAATAAAGAAAACCTTATGTACCTACTAAATGAACAAAAAATTGATATTGCTTGTATTTCTGAAACGTATTTTAAACCTCAAATAATCTACAAATTTAAAAATTACAATATCTTAAGAGACGATCGTGTCGATCGTCTTGGAGGAGGAACAGCGATTTTAGTTAAATAAACATATTTTATGATGAAATTCCCATTAAATACTACTTAGCGAATGTTAATCAAAAATCAATTTTATTAAAATGTAGCAATATTAAAATTACAATTGTATTCTTATATATACCACCAAAAACCAAAATTTCATTACAAGAGTGGTGTTCATTTTTTGAATCAATTCCTAGACCATGTATAATAACAGGAGATCTAAATTCTCATAACATAGCTTGGGGAGGTCCATCGACTGATACATATGGTAAAATTTTGTTAGAAGCTTTAGACCAAAATAATCTTAGTTTTATAAATGACGGATCACCAACGTTTTTGGGAAATCTACACACCATTCCTTCAGCTATTGATTTGACAATCAGTTCTCTAGAAATTAGACATCTTTTGAAATGGGAAACTCTAAATGACTTATATGGTTCGAATCACCTTCCCACTCTTACTTCAATCTCAATCACTCCTAAAAATATAATTACTAAGTTTACCAGAAAATGGAATTTAAAAAGGGCTAATTGGAATTCGTTTTGTTTAGAAACACAAAAATTGTTCCACGGAAATATTAATCTTAATTATGAAGAATTTATTCAAAACATAGATACGGCTGCTGAGAAGTCAATTCCAAAATTTATTAAAAGTAACTCTTCATCTAAAAATAAATTCTGGTGGAACCAAAAATGTGATGAAGTGATAGATAACAGAAAAAAAGCTTTTATAACCTTCCAGACAAATCCTACACTCTCAAATATTATAGAATACAAAAGATTAGATGCCATAGCAAAAAAGACAATAAAACAAGTCAAAAGGGAAAGTTGGAAAAATTATTGTCTATCTCTGAACCAACATTCTCCTATTAAGGAAGTTTGGCAAAAAGTTCGTTCATTAAAAAATCAAAATTCTTCAACGATTCCTCCAGTAGACATCGAAACAGCTGAATGGATACCAGAATTTCATTTGAAACTAGCCCCGCCATTCGTTGTTCCATGCCCTCCTAATGATTCAGAATTGGAAAATAAATCCCTAGCCACTTCAACCGAAAACTCCAAAAACTTATTAACACCATTCTCTTATAATGAATTAGAATTGGCCTTAATGAAAACAAAGAACTCGTCTCCAGGTTTAGACAATATTCATTATACAATGCTAAGCAACCTCCCTAAGATTGCTAAACAACAACTATTAAATATCTTAAACAAAATATGGGCTAAGAAACTGGACATTCCAAAATCTTGGTCTGATTATATTAT